TGTATATAGTTTTTGACAAAAAGCCTTATTTGAATTCGAAAATCAATGAATACCATCTAAAATGGCTATAGTACCAGTAAACACGGTTTTTCTCAACAGAGGGAGGACAGGAAAGAGGAAAAGAACGGATCCTACTTTTGTAACTGGTAGTATAATGAGTCAAATGGGATAAAATATTTGACTTTATCACATACGTAGAAAAACTAGATAGAGTTACAAAATCGACCAATTCGTAGTGGACTTGACAAGATTAGAAGCACCACCACTAATAGAGTCTTGAGTCTAGAATCGAGGATGTGGGTGTGGGTCGATGTGGCTGTGTGCCGATGAGAAGAGTAACACACACACCCACATCATCAAGGATGGCATCGGTCACCATATTCTATAGGCTCAGTACCAATTTACTGAGTTTCTGTTGTCATCTAGTCGCCTCCATAACCGATCTTTTCATCAGCATTTGCTTGTTTGACGAGGTATAGTGTCCAGTGATGGGAATCAAGTGTTTTAATGATCCGTTCAGTAGATCCATCAACGCTTGCCCGCATCGAACCATATTAGGGAAACTGCCTCTTTTTTGAACATTTCTGATTCTTGGAGAGGGTACAATCGATCTGCAAAAATTTTTTAACATAGATGGAACACTTAAAATAGGGAGACATGTGTTCGAGTAAAAAAATTTTAAACAAGGATTTTGCTTTTGGGGGGGGGGGGGACTCTGGTTTTCCATGGGATTACATTGGACCGTCTTACGAATCTCCTATAACGTTGTCAGATCGGGCTGAAAGTGTTTTTTTAAGATACCTTAGACTATATCTCAGAGTTAATTTTAAGCTTTTTCATATATGTCGCTTTCTTTTTCTTTTATGAAAACAATACGTAAATATTCGAATTCGAAACCGAGGTGCTGACGTTCAGGGGTTTATAAATCCGGAACGGAAGATCAAAAGCGAAAACAGCCGATTTTACCTCTGGAGAATAATTTCAAGTATCTGTAGTCGGAATTTTAGCTCGATTGGACACAGTCAGAAGACTATCGTAAGGAGACCCAATGTAGTCCTATGAAAAACCAGAGTTTTCCAAAAGACAGCGAAAACCTTGTTTAAAGGTTTTTTTCTCGAATGCATCCCTCGTTATTGTAGGCACTCTAGCTGTGTTAAAAACTTCATGCGGATAGATTGTACCCTCTTGGAGAACCAGACATAGCCGAAAAGAATGGGGTACCCTTAATCGATCTCAATGCTTTTATATCAAACCTAAAAATTGCACAGACTTGGTTGCTTCAATAAAACAAAGCGTACGGAATATTTTTTGATTAAATGTTAAAGATCCAGAAGTACGAACCTCAGTTCATGGCACAGTCCTACAGAAGAATTATGTTTCCATCAGGAATAGCACATTTAGGACGTGAATGTGGGTGCAGAAGTATGTGGCAGTCTTCTGTCACCAACTATAATCTCTATCTTCACATCGTAGACTTCGCTCACCTAGGTGTTTCCGCTGTTTACCTATTCTGACATGAAACAGGAAAAAAAGAAAACGTTGATTTTTGCCACTGACGTGGTGATAAAACGCATGTTTTTTTGTCACATGATGAAAGGAATGCAATTTTTTTTATTCCAGCTTTTTAGGGCTGTTTGGTTTCTTGTGTTAAAAAAAGCCCACGTTACTACTCGAGAGTGAAATATGTAATGTTCGATTTTCATACATTAATGTTGACTTGTTTGAATAAGTGTTCGGCTAGCACGCAAATATAGACTGTAGCAGAAAAATATTGCATTAAGAAGAAGAAGAAGAAGATTCATTTGAATATCCATCTAAATAACATCACTAATCAATAATACATGATGGAAAACAACTATGTTGACCTTAGCAACACTAATTCATCACATGTGTCGAGCTCTTTTGTCAAAACCAAAGTGAATTTTTCAGTATCATTAATTATTCCAGATCGATACTTAAATAAACAAAATTTGTTACAGTGTACAATCAGATGTTTGATTGAAAATTTTGTTTTTATTTAGTTGGACTCAAATTTGAATAATATCGATAAAATTCGGCATTTCATAAATGGAAGAGTGTGGGTAATTGTTAATGTAATTAATATATTAACTATCCGAACTGAATGTAAATCAATTGAGAATACAGAGAAAATTTGTTATTATTTAAAAACGTATGATGTAATGACGAAAGAATATCTGACCGTACCAGAAGTTCATTGGTTCTTCTAACTTAGGTTCTGTTTCCAATCAATAATTTGAAAATGAACAAGTTTTATCGAGGAACATTTATTCAGTTTTTATTTATCATAATGAAGTTATTTTGATTTTCAATATTACAACATATAAAAATCAATGTATGTGTCTTGTAAGTATCCAATCTGTTCACTCTTAGTACAATGTCAGGATGGACATAAGATATTTCAATTCGAGAACAACTCGATAGAAAAAGTCAACATATTGTTATCAAGAAGTAAAATAAATATTGAATATCAAATGTGATAAGAAGCATGTTCTCATATCACACATTCGCTGTTGGCCTAACAAAAAACTCAACTATATCAACTAAATAAAAGAAAATAGTTAAAACATCGTCAAAATATTTTTCACGGTTTTTTTTTCTGCACATGAAAATGGCCACACAAGAAGAAAATACTAACAAAACTATTATAGGTAATATGTCCAATTTCTGGCAGTACTCAAGTGAAATTGGTTTCGATTTAAGTCGACAGAATAATCATCAAACTTGTTCTTCCATTTATTTTGAAACAACGACAACGCCCATTACTATTGATCCGACACGCTCCGCTTTAGTTATCATCGACATGCAAAATCTTTTTCTGCACCCAACTGTAGGATCGCATGAGACAGGGCTTGCCGCATCACATCAATTGCTCAAATACGCTATTCCTGCAGCACGAAAAGCTGACATTCAAATTATCTGGCTCAATTGGGGTTTGACGGAGGAGGACATAGATCAAGCACCTCCAGCACTCAAAAGAGCCTTTGACGATCCGAAGCATGTACCAACGACTTTAAACAAAATTTACAAAGGTTTCGGAACTCCTATGGGTGAAATCACATTGCCTAATGGTGGCCATGTCGACGGTGGACGGTTACTGATGCGTGATACTTGGAATGCTAAACTCTATGATCCACTCTTTCAAAGTTATGAAAGTAGTCAGAACACTTCGAAGCCTGATAAATTGTTTCATAAAGTAAATTTACTCTTATTCATTAGTATGTTCATAAAATGACACTATGATGTATACTATAGAATCGTCTCTCCGGTTTGTGGGCTCACAAGTCTCCACTACTCTCTTATCTTCATGACAATAAACTCATTACGCTCTTCTTTGTTGGTGTTAATACTGACCAATGCGTTTCAGGCACACTTCAAGATGCATTTAGCAAAGGTTTTGATTGTATTCTTCTTCGTGATGGATGTGGTACAACGAGTCCACCATTTGCTCAACAATGTATTGAATACAATTGTGAGCGAGTAGGCGGATTTATCATGACAACCGAGGCATTTGTCAAAGGCATTGAAGCTTCTCTACATTGATTTTCATCTATACATCGATCAATGTAGATTGACTATAATTCATCAAAACCAAATTAATAAAAGTTAAATTTCAAAATAGCTAGTGTAATATAATTTCTCTAAAAACAAATAAAATATCTTTTTAAGGAAAATCGTAGACTAAATAAATGATTGTGTTATTTTGAAAAACTATGTCAAAGAGATATTTCATATCGAAATGGTCAAGAAATCGAATACATTGACAAAGTTGTCCATAGTTAAGAAGTAGTACGAGTTAAGATTATTCGTACCAACAATTTATACTTATACATTCTGAATCATAGTTAAAATATGTCTCATTTAAATGCAAGTTAAATCCATTTCACACATTAATTCAATAGATCAAAAAAAGCTTAATGTTTATATATATTGTCTATGTTGTGTACCTTAATTTATTTAGGCAATTTTTCACAACGTTAGATCATTTGTAAACGGAGTGAACTAACGTTCATCTATTCTAGATCCTAGAAAGTTAAAGCCCTAGTATTCCATTTATTAAACTGTTTTCGAATATATTCAGAGAAAAAAAAAATACTCATTTGCTGAACAGAAGCAATGAAGAGCTGTTACTATGTTACTGTTATTATAAAAAAACACGATTAGTTTAAATTAGTCGATCAAGAGTAAGAATGAAGAATTACGAATATACAAAGCACGTTTTCTATCCTGCTAGGAATTTTAAGGTATCAATTGGATCAATAAACGCTAATGAACGATATTTCAGCTCATTTTCTTTTTTTTTCGTCTCATTGTCGAATCGATTAGTAACTACATTTTCGGTTTTCTTTTCTAATTGATTTTGATTCACTTGAACTTGTTCCATAGAATTTTCATTAAAAAAAACTGAAGATGAAAATGTCGAATTAGTAGCAACAACTGCCATAGTACATATTCACAATTAACAAATGATCTGAAATAAAATCAACACATTATTGAAGACAGTCGCCTTCAAATTACAATATAACAAATACGTAAACGAAATTGTGCATATAAGAGTTAAGGAAAAGATACTTTTGCCTTCTATAAAATTAGATTCGTCAGAAGAAACCAGTGAAGAGTGCGGTATAAATATTTTTAATGGTTCGTATTACTAATACTTATCTGTAGGATAAATATTGGTCAAATTTATCCAACAATATTTCAAATTAGAATTAACAATGTACTCATTCGATTTTCTCTACATTCTCTTTCGCGTCAATCTATCTATGTTGTCGAACCAAACTTCGCGAAATATTGCATCATAAAATTTTATATTCCATCAGTGAATAGTTTTAGCAAAATGCTTGATATTCTTCGTAGCCCCTATGACGTATTTGTTTTGTTTCACTGATGATTCGATATCAATCAGTCTGTGTTGATCTACTTGTAGATTATATATATGTAAATGATTGGCTTTGTAGGTTCTTCCTATGAAACAATTCCGTCAAAACCGAAGATGCTGTAAAATAAATCGATTGAAACAGCTTTTTATAGAGTTTGTTTGAAGCTTGTTACATAAATAAGTGTTAGAGAAAGATAATGATATAAGTGCCTCTGGCTATGAGATGTTTGTCATATGAATATCGTTACTAAAGCCATATACTCTTATATCAACAACCAATTATAATCAATGTATCGCATGTAATTGACGAATCTCGAAAAGAATTCAGTTTGTTTTCAATGAAAATTTCCAATGAAATACATTTTTTAGAAAAAGCTTTTGTCGAAATGAAAAAACAAAAGAGAATGAAACAATTTAATAGATTAAAGCTGAGCGAAGCAATCGAAAGAGTGATTTATTAAATGTCATTGTTAAAAACGTAGAGCGGTGTGGGGATGGATGTGGGTGTTGATGTCGATGTGAATTTGAGTTTGGTTGTGTGTTAACTCGTCAACCACATCCACACCCACGCCCTTGTATCAAGACAGACAATATCAAGTATACACTAAGAAAAATTACACCTGAAATTGAATTCCTCTACAGCGTTCTTACGCATTGTCTCTCGTTCTAAGTATTACTCAACCATTGTGCAACTTTTTTTATCTTTCAAGGACGAAATGATATACACTCATGTATATATACATAGAACATAGAAAATTATTCGACACATTCTATGTATTGAACAAGAATGACATACAAGGCAGTACTATTTCTAATTTTCTTCTTCGCTCACATCGATTTGATTGAATCTATTCGATGTGGAACAAAGGGTCCTTTCGTATTTTTATCATTCAATATTAGTATATCGGAAAATGTATGCCCAGAATTCGTCGAAAAATCCAATGCGCAGTGTTCACTCATTCTGGAACTCGATTTCCAAAAGAACGGTGGTGGTAGCGTGCTAATGATCGTAGATCGTATCGAAGTTGACTCTTTGAGCATCGAAACAAAATTTGGAATCCATAGTAATGCGACTACTTCTACAATCAAATATACTTGTTCAATGTCGGATAATTGTGCTTGAGAATTTGCTAACGAATTATTTAGTTCTGCATTGGTGAAATTCGATGCACTAGCTGTTCGACAAAATTTAAGTGAACTACTTTACGCTAACAAACCGGATGTAGCTGAAGTTCAATGTGTAAATAATAGATGTGATCCCGACAGTTATTGTCAGGCTCGTTTAGAAGAAAATCTGTCGCCGCAATACACATTTTTTCACATTGACAACCGTTTACCATGTGCAAACGCATTAAAAACACAAGATATGATAAGTATCGAACGAACATACTCTTTTTTGTCTACGATAAAAACAAATATGACTCTATTTTGTAATCGATCTGAATATAACAACAACGAAACGCTTATGCTAGCTTACCAGCTCTTCAATAACGAGTTCTATCTACCAGTCAATTATTCCATTATGAAAATAAATACATCATTTACAACGACCACACCCAGATCACTAGCTTCAAAGTCATACATTCCTCTATCATACGAACTCATCATAAATGCCGCTATGCTTTCTATTTTTCATCTATTGAATAAAAAATAAATACACATCATTTTAGTTTTCAGATCATTACTTTTCAAAAAGAAATCTAAATAAAGGATGAGGCAGGCACACAAAGGTACCAAATTGACCGATTTGTTATTTATTAAAAGTAATGGAAAGTTCGACGCATAATTTTACGCTGAGTCATTAGGTCATGTTTCCAGATCGTTTTGATAATTTCTAAGTCAGAATGTATCTCTAATACTGTCATTAGTTTGTTGTATTTGAGTTCATCGTCAAAATCATGAGGTATCTTTTCTGAGTGACATCGTTTTAAAATTTGGATAGTGTCATCACATAGAACGATCAATCCTTCATTGAATGATGTGAAAGCAAGTCTATCGAAACGAGTTGCCGGTGTCTTCTATCGTTCGGCGATGTTTCGAAATCTAGCGACAAAATGATCGGCGTGGTCGACAATGGCTGCGAAAATGTTGTCGATGATCTACACCAAACAGTACGGCACGATTTCGCTCGAAACGCAATAGTAGACGAATTAAATAACGTAATCATTATACATGAACTTTTCTAACAATGAGTCACTAAAATCCGAGTTGCCATTTTCTCTCGACCAACTAAGTAGCCGAAACCGTTCTCATAACGCCTTGGAGCCTGGTTCTGATCAGGTTTTGTGTGTGCTCTTATCCCTTCGACAACGCCAAACATGTTGGCACGCACAGCCACAACCACACACTCACATCATAATTTAAGACAATTCGAGCGTCGTTAAGCACTCTTGCTAAAATTACTTGTAAGCAGTATCATACTGATAATGTTATACCATCTTGTAATTGAGAAGTTTATCATCACATATTGGTAAGGTATACACTGATAGTTGACCAGTGTTGATGAACATCAGTTCAGCTGCATTCGATAGATTTTTCAATGTTGTTTGTAAAAACGCTTGAATAGAAAAGGCTTTGCAAGAAGATTCATGAAGACTCTTACAAGTTGGAAAAACAAACGAAAGTTATGGAACTGTCAGACCATAAATAAAAAACGCATTTCTCGATTAGTTGCTCAACTATTATGAAGCGTGCAGCCGTTCCCGGATTGGTCATCGCCGTGAACCTCAGGGTGTGGATGTGGGTGGGTGTGAGTGTGGGGTGTGGCTGCGGGTGTGGGGTGTGGCTACGGGTGTGGGTGTGGGTGTGAGTCAGACTTTGGGCGCAGGTACAGGTGTGGAACGTGAGTGTGGGTGTAGAGGATCAACACCCACACTCACACACACTCTAGTTATCGAATGATATGAGGAATGTTATTACCCTTGAGGCAATACACCAAAACAACTCAAATCCCTCAACTTTTATAAATGTACAGTTGCGTAGTAAGATAAGGAACGATATTACCCTTGGGATAATACATCAAAACAACTCAAATTGCTCAACTGCAAAGTATGTAGTTATTCTTTAAGATAATGGAGTGATTATCCCTGAGGTAATACACGAAAATCGCTCAATATCCTATTAGGTATTGTGTTTTCTGAATGTGGATACCTGGTGTAACGGGATTATGACACCACTCATATGATAACGCCCGCCCAATGAAGTGAAAATAGAGGAATGACCATTAAAATGGATTATTTTCTTTAGACACATCATATTAACCCTAAAAATGCATCTCATTTAAACGGATAATGATAAAATGGACATTGAAATGTATTTCTATTCATAAATGAATTATTTTGATTATTTAAGATTTATCGGTCGTATTTTTATGTAGTATTTTGCGTTTCGCTTTACATGCAGAGATTCAATAAAAAGATTTTTTCTTATCATTTGCAATAATCAGATATAAATACATAAAAATGTTGAATTTTATGAGATAATGAGAATATGAAAAGTGTAGAACTCGTTCTAAATATTTCTGTATTTACAAACTAAAATTAAGTATCTATTTTTAAAGAGTTTATTCATCAAAATAGTTAATACAATTTAGGGTGTGGGTGTGGGTGTGGGTGTGTGGGTGTGGGTGTGGGTGTGGGTGTGTGGGTGTGGGGTGTGGGTG